GGTAAGATCATTACTTGAGCTGAAATCAAGAGTTGGATTTTCAACCAACTGAGCCACTCAGGAGTCTCTGGATGTCACTAAAATTGAAAACTTTTGCTCTACAAAAGACACTGTCAAAAAAAATGAGAAGACATGCCACAGAGTGGATGAAAATATTTGCACAAGACATAAGACACTATTAATAAAAAATACAAAGAACTCTTAAAACTCAACAATTAAGAAAAGCAACACTAAACAACCCAATTTAAAAATGGACTAAAGATCTGAACAGACACCTCCCCAAAGACATATACAGATGGCAAACAGGCATATGAAAAAAATGCTCCACATCATATGCCATTTGGGAATTGCAGATTAAAACAACAAAGTGATACTACCACATATCTACTACAATGGCTAAAATCCAAATCACTGACAACACTAAATGCTGCTGAGGATGTGGAGCAATAAGAGCTTTCATTCATTTCTGATGGGAATGCAAAAATGGTACAGCCACTTTGGAAGATAGCTTGGCAATGTATCACAAAACTAAGCATACTGTTAACACGTGAACCAGCATTCATGTTGCTTGGTATTTACCCAAGAAATAAAATCTTATGGCTTAACAAAAACCTGCACATAGATATTTATAGAAATTTTATTCATAACTGCCAAAACCTGGAATCAATCAAAATGTCTTTCAATAGGTGAAAAACCTACTGAATAACCTATATAAACAAACTGTGGTATATCCCTACAATGTAATATTATTTAGTACTAAAAAGAAATAAGGTATCATACCATGAAAAAACAGGGAGAAAACTTCAATGCATAATACTAACTAAAGAAGCCAGTCATAAGGCTGCATATGGTATGATTCCAACCATGACATTCTAGAAAAGACAAAACTAATGAGACACTATAAAGTGTATCACTCCTAGTGGATGCTAGGAGTTTGAGAGGAGAGAGGAATAAATAGGCAGAACACAGGGATTTTTAAGAGCAATAGACTGTTTTGTATATTATAATGGTGTATATTTATCACCATTAATATGATTTTTTTCAAAATCCATGGAAGGTATAAAACCAAGAGTGGACTTTATCCTATGGATTTGGGGTGATCATAATGTGCCAACATCTGTTCATCAATTTTAACAAATGCACCACTCTGGAGAGAGAATGTTGATGGTTGGGAAGGCCGTGCATAGGCTGGAAGAAGGGATATACTGAAACTACTTTCTATTCAATATTGCCATGAACCCCAAATTAAAATAGAAGTAACTATCAAAAAAACACAGAATCTACTGGGAAAATAAACATAACACTAACATTTATTTTTTAAAAAACTACTGGACTTGAAGGAAAAAGAAAGATATCCTTTGAGTGTCCAAACAAAAAGACTAAATCATTTATAAGAGAAAATAAGATTGTCATTAGATTCCTGATGGCTTTGCTTTATGCCAGAATACAGTGGAGTTTTAATATAGTAAACAAATTCAAGGAATGGAAACATAAGCCAAAGATTTACATTCAACCAAACTGACTTTCAAGAATAAAATCTTAACACAAACTGCTATGAACATACAAAATCTCTGGCTGTATTGTTCACATACCTTCTATTACAAAAAGGGCTTAAGACAATCAAATTGATGAGACACTTAACATAAAGCCTGGGAGACTAGAGAACTCTGCAGGTCCTTTATGCTTCTCATTAAATCCACAAAACAATCCTTAATAACAGTGTTTCCATTCTACACATAGAGAAACTGAACGTCAAAGTCAGCGCAACTTGCCCATGGCTGCTGGGCAAGCGACTGAACCAGAATTGGAACCAAAGCCCATTATCCTTCCACAGCATGAAGCTGCTCCCACACACATATTAAATAAACCTTTTTGTCCTTGCATATACTGGGATTGCGTATTGCCTGGAACTTCATTCTCTCCCTTATTTACCCAATGAGCTCTTTTTTTTTTTTTTTTTTAAATCTTTGGCCTAGCTCAAGATGACTTTCTCTCTCTGTGGCTTTCTCTGACCCAAAAGGGCCTTATCGTCCTTAATGAAACTATATGGTTTTGACAACATAAAGCCTCCTAATCTGTGGTTCCATACCATTACACATGCACTTCCAACACAGATTTTCCCACGTGTGATTTCCTTTTTTTTTTTTTTTTTAATGTTTTATTTATTTCTTGGAGAGAGAGAGAGAGAGAGAGAGCGTGAACAGGGGAGGGTCAGAGAGAGAGGGAGTCACAGACTGAAACAGGCTCCAGGCTCTGAGCTGGCAGTCAGCACAGAGCCTGACGCGGGGCTCGAACCCACGAACCGCGAGATCATGACCTAAGCGAAAGTCGGACGCTTAACCAACTAAGCTACCCAGGCGTCCCAACGACGTGTGATTTCCTAATGGTAAGAAACTGTGACTTCTTTGTGTTAAAATCCTAGCACAGAGCATTAGGGAAAAATTAAAGACAGAAGATGACAACTCTGAGAAGTCTTTTTTTTTAACTATCCATGATAAAGTTAGTTACTTACACATGTCTACACTACCTTTTAACTTTGTGCCTACTTTTATTCTTGCCCTTTTCATGCAATTTTATCATTTATTTGTTTTCATTTGTGTCTGTCCTCTGAGAGCAAGGATGATCTTTTTACTCTTTGTAGCTTTCCTGCCTAACACGTAGTGGTAGGAACAGTTAATTAGTGTTCCATAAATAGCTGGTAAATTGAAGTTAAAAAAAAGGTAAGACAAGTCATAAATGACTTCTCAGTTCCAGTTCTCTGAAGATGGATTTTTTGAATATGGAGAAGATCTGCCTCCACACTAAATATTATTGTACACCAAATACATACATTTAAGCAATAATGATTTTACATAAAAGGAATCAGACTCTGATGTTTTTAAAGTTATAGTTCTAATATAAACACATAAAGGAGTTTTAGATTACAAAATAATCTATATTTTTTTATTTTTATTTTTATTTTTTTTTTTTACAAATAGTTTATTGTCAAATTAGTTTCCACATAACACTCAGTGCTCATCCCCACAAGTGCCCTCCTCCATGCCCATCCCCCCTACCCCCCACATCCATCAGTCCTCAGTGTTTGTCAGCAGTCAAGAGTCTCTCATGGTTTGCCTCTCTTCCTCTCCCCCACCATTTCCGCCCTTCTTCTTCCCCTTGTTCCTCCGTCAAGTTCCTCCTAATCCTCCTATACGTGCAAACATATGGTATTTGTCCTTCTCTGCCTGACTTATTTCGCTCAGCATAACACCCTCAAGGTCCATCCATGTTGCTACACATGGCCAGATTTCCTTGTTTCTCATTGCCATGTAGTATTCCATGGTATAGATAAACCACATCTTCTTGATCCATTCATCTGTTGATGGATACTTAGGCTCTTTCCATGTTTTAGCTATTGTGGAGAGTGCGGCTATGAACATTGGGGTACATGTGCTCCTATGCATCAGCATTTCTGTATCCCTTGGGTAAATTCCTAGCAGTGCTATTGCTGGGTCATAGGGGAGTTCTATTGTTAGTTTCCTTAGGAACCTCCATACTGTTTTCCAGAGGGGCTGCACAAGTTTACATTCCCACCAACAGTGTAGGAGGGTGCCCGTCTCTCCACATCCTCGCCAGCATTCTATATTTTTTTTATCATTATTTGTGAAAATATTTTGGCTTGGAGACTTTTTTCCCCTTGAATACAGTCTGAGGTATTTTGACAACAGGAACAGACTAAGATGTAAGAATACAAAATTGCTAGCATTTTTGACTAATGTCTGGCATACAACTGCACAAATTGCAAATATAAGAGTGTGAACAAGTTAATTACAAATACATACAATTGTGTACTTACACTGTTTTCAAACAACTAATTGTATATACTTCTCTCTTGAAACTGCTTTTCCTTTAACATTAAAGAAAATGCTATAATGATTAATGGCTAGGAGATTCACCCTTAGAAAGAAAACAGCAATCTACTTTTTATACTTTAATAACATGTGTATGGGTTCATCTCACTGGCAAAATAGCATCTGGCTGATTTCTTTATACACACTTCAAATAACCTTGCCACCTATGTTATTTTTTTGTCAGTTTCAAATATGAGCATCACTCTAATTCAGAAAATTTTCTACATTCAATATTCTCCATATTCAAATAATCCATCTTTAGAGAACTGGAACTGAGAAATCACTTATGATTTGTTTTGCTTTTTTTTTTAAAACTCCAATTTACCAACTATTTATGGAACCCTAATTAGCTGTTCCAACTACTATGTGTTAGGCAGGAAAGCTACAACGAGTAAAAAGATCATCCTTGCTCTCAGAGGATAGACACAAATGAAAATATATAAATGATAATACTGCATGAAAAAAGGCAAGGATAAAAGTATGCACAACATTGTCAGAGACAGTCTTAAGGAGACATAAGGAAAAAAAAGATATATTGAGAGAGAACATAATAGTGACATACATTCATGTATAGACACAAACTCTGAAAAAAGAAAAATCATATTCAACCCCTCATTTGAATAAGCTTGTAAGTGTGAAAACACCTGTTTTATACATGGACACTCTTCATATGCATAGCTGTAATACCAAGATGTACAAGACTCACGGAACATAAATGTTTTACTCCTGCCTCACAATTCAGCCTTCCCAGTCCAAAATGGATGTTGTCATAACTACTATAGATATCTTTATTCAAGAAATTTCCAGAATCCACATGCATTGCTCCTATATCTCTCTTCATGTAAAAAAATGTTTTGACTGTCCTACTTTTCTGGATTGTCTAATACATATTTCCTTTTCCTTTTAAGATCCCATCCAGGTTATGTCAGGTCAAAACTCAAGACTACAATGTTGAGACAACACTTCAGAAAAGACAACTAATGTCCATCTAACTAGAAAATTATGACAAAAAGATGACCTCTTATAAATAAGTAGACATATTTTTAAAAATACAGTTTTATTTTTAATAACATTACTTCTAGCATGGAAAAACAATTTGTTTCTGCTTACCACTTCTAATGGTCGTGTTTTCCAGTAGTTCTGTCTGAAGCTGAAGTTCAGCTTCTCCAAGAATCTTTAGAACTGAATCTGTAGGGCTTCTTCCCCAGACTTTTCTTGGAGATCCACCAGGATCTAATTTGATAACCTCTCCCACTGTATGTTCTATAAGAAAAAGAAACAAAAAAAAAATTTCACTGATAAAACATAACACTGTTACTGTTTCATAAGGCAGATTTAAGATCTATCCAATTGAACACATCAAAAGAAAGAAAAGTTGTATCACTAGGAACATATGCTGATGATGCTTCAAAAGACTTTCAGAGAATGAATGTTGAATGATGAACAGATAGAATGAGTGATAAATATTACTAAGAGTAGTAATAAAAATATAGATCTATAATTGCCTTTTAAAATACTTATGGGAGGCAGATTAAGATGGCAGAGTGGGAAGATTAAGGACTCATCTCCTCTTAGGGACACATCGAAATCTACAACTACATGTAGAACAACTATCTTAGAATGAACTGAAGACTAGCTGAACAGATCACATAGAACTAAAAATATAAAGATAAAGACAAATCAAGATGGGTAGAGGGCTGGAGATGCAATTTAGTCAGGACTCACATCCCTGCCACGATGACCCATTGTGAGTAATATCACAACTGTAGGGACCCCCCGGGGGTCAGAGTCTCACGTGAGGTTCCATAGACCAGGGATCTGCACCAGAAACACAAGCACCCATAATGTATGGCTTTCAAAACCAAGGCAGCTTGCTTATGCTTGGGAGAGCTAGAGAACAGTAGGAAACTGCAACTCCACTGTTAAAGGGAATATGGACAATGTCAGTGACTCCAAGTCCCAACACAGTGCAGCGGTTTGAAAACTCCCTGGGTTATTAGTGAAGGAAATCCACTAACTTTAGATATGCACCCGAGGGCCAGGGATCTGTTGGAAAGTTCTCCAGGGATGAAAGTGCTGGGGTGTACAGTTTTTCCTATCTTCTTTCTATCTAGCTGACCCTGCTCTGGTAGGTGCCATTTCTGACACTTTCCACCTACTTGCTAGCAGGACTAGCTCCACCCTGACATTCCCTTGTGGACTTGCCCCACCCAATCTGCCCACCCAGGGCCAGAGTCCCTTCCCTAGCATACCCTGCAAGCAGCCTAGGTTGGTTAGGAGCCTCTTCTAAGCAATTTCCTGCCCCACCACTCCTGGAGGGCACCCTCAGCAAGCACCAGAGCCCCTCCTAAGTTAACCTGGTCTGGGATTGCCAGTCCCAAACACTAAAACACCTACAATGGGTGCAGCCAGATATCACAACAAGCCACAATGAGGGCCAGCCCCACTCAACAGTATACCTGCAGTAGTGAAAGTAAGATCCCACAGGCAGCTGTGTACATCAGCAAGTCTGCAATAGTCTTGACCCAGCCACAACAGGAGGGTTTAGGCAGCTCACACAGGGAATACTCATGAGAACCTGGCTCAGGTGACCAGGGAGGTTTGCCCTAGTAGGCCCATTCAGCATAAAACCACTCCTTCAAGACTTGGAGACATAACTGACCTACCTAAAATATAGAAACCATGGTGAGGCAAAATGAGAAGACAGAGAAATATGTTCCAAATGAAAGAATAAGACAAAACCTTAGAAAAAGAACTAAACAAAATGGAGAAAGCAATCTACCAGATAAAGAGTCCCAAGTAGTAATGGTCATAAAAATGCTTACTGAACTCAGGAGAAGAGAACAGAGTGACAACTTCAACAAAGAGATAGAACATATAAAAAATAACCGATCAGAGCTAAGGAGTACAATAACTGAAATGAAAAATACACTAGAGGGAATCAATAGCAGATCAGGTGATGCAGAAGAAAGAATCAATAATCTGGAAGGCAAGGTAGTAGAAATTACCCAATCAAAGCAGCAATAAGAAAAAAGAATTTTTAAAAATCAGAATAGTTTAACTTAATGCAGAACTTTGGAACTGCATTAAGTGTACTAATATTAGCATTATAGGGTCCCAGAAGGAAAACAGAGAAAGGGACAGAAAACCTATCTGAAGAAACAATGGCTGAAAATATCCCTAACCAGGCAAAGGTAGTATACATCTAAGTCCACTAAGCACAAAGTTCCAAATAAAATGAACTCAAAGAGACCCACACCAAAACATTACAAAGTATGAGCAGTTAAAGATAGAGTCTTGGATTGCCTGGGTGGCTCAGCTGGTTAAGCACCCAACTCTTGATTTCAGCTCAGGTCATTATCTCACAGTTCATGGGATCAAGCCCCATGTATCAACCTCTGTGCTGCTTGGGATTCTCTCTCTGCCCCTCTCCTGCTCATACTTGCTGTCTTTAAAATAAATAACTAAATTTAAAAAATAAAACAAAAAATAAAAATTAAAAAATAAGAGTCTAAAAAGCAGCAAGAGAAAAATTCCTAGTTACTTATATGGGAGCACCCCAAAAAACTATTAGCTAATTTTTCAGCAGAAACTTTACAGCCCAGAAGAATGTGGCATGATGCATTCAAAGTACTGAAAAGAGGGACGCCTGGGTGGCTTAGTCAGTTAAGCGTCCGACTTTCGCTTAGGTCATGATCTTGCGGTTCGTGGGTTCGAGCCCTGCATCAGGCTCTGTGCTGACTGTCAGCTCAGAGCCTGGAGCCTATTTGAGAGTCTGTATCTCCCTCTCTCTCTGACCCTCCCCTGTTCACGCTGTCTCTCTCTCTCTCTCCTAGAAACAAATAAAAAATAAAAAAAACAAAGTACTGAAAAGAAAAAAAACCCCTTATAAATAAGAATATTCTACCTGGCAAAGTTATCACTCAGAGTTGTAGGGGAGATACAGTTTGCCAGATAAGCAAAAGCTAATGGAGTTGATCAATACCAAACTGGGCATCCGAGAAACGTTGATAGAATTTCATAAACAAAAAAAGAAAAGACCAAAACCCAAAATAAGAAAAGTAAGAAGGAAAAAATCTTACTGGTAAAGATAAGCATAATACCAAGGTTGTGGCTCAAATGCCCTCATATCTAAATATGAGGGTTAAAAGATGAAAATCATTTAGACATACAATAATTAGTCAAGAGATACAGAAAACAGTAAGATGTAAAACATGACATCAAAAACATAAAATGTTGGGGGGATGGTAAAAATGCAGTGTTTTTAGAAAGTGCTTGAACTTGGGGCGCCTGCGTGGCTCAGTCAGTTAAGTGTCTGACTTCAGCTCAGGTCATGATCTCACGGTTTGTGGGTTTGAGCCCTGTGTCGGGTTCTGTGCTGACAGCTCAGAGCCTGGAGCCTGCTTTGGATTCTGTGTCCCTCTCTCTCTGCCCCTCCCTTGCTTGTGCTCTGTTTCCCTCTGTCTCTCAAAAATAAGTAAACTTTTAAAAACAAAGTGCTTGAACTTAAATGGCCTTCAACTTAAGACTGCTAAATACACAGGATGTTATACATGAACCTTATGGTAACCACATACCAAATACCTTTATTTACACATATAAGTGAAGGTTTATGTAAATAAACTAAATGTTTCACTCAAAACACATAGTGTCACTGAATGGATAAAAAAAACAAGGACCACATACATGCTGCCTACAAGAGACTCACTTCAGATCTAGACACACACAGACTAAAAGTGAAAGGATAGAATAAGATATTGAATGCAAATGGAAACATAAAGAAAGTTGATGTAGCAATACCTATGGCAGAAAAAGTAGATTTTAAAAGAAAGACTGTAACAAGAGACAATGAAGGGCATTACACAATGAATGCATACATCAAAGAAGAGGATAGAACATCTATAAATATCAGTGCATTCAATATAGGGGCACATAAAGCAAATATTATATAAACATAAAGAGAGACACTGATGGTAAAAATAATGATAGTACAGGACTTTAATATTCCACTTGCATCAATGAATAAATCATTTAGATAGAAAATCAATAAGGAAATATCGGCTTTAAATAACACATTAGACAAGATGGATTTAATAGGTATATACAAAACATTCCATTCAAAAATAGAACAGACATTCTTTTCAAGTGTACGTGCAATCTTCTCTAACAAAGATCATACATTAAGCCGTAAAACAAATCTCAATTAATATAAGAAAACTGAGATCATATCAAGCATATTTTCCAAATACAACAAAAACAGTATGAAATTAAAAATCAAGCAGAAGAAAACTGTAAAATACAAATATGTGAAGTCTAAACAAAACCAATGGACCAAAGAAGACATCAAAGAGGAAACCAAAAAAATACCTTGAGGCAAATGAAAATAAAAATACAATGCTCTAAAATCTATGGGACACAGCAAAAGCAATTCCAAGACAGAAGTTTATAGTGATACAAGCCCATCTCAAGAAACAAGAAAAATCTCACATAAACAATCTGATCCTACACCTAAAGAAACTACTAAGAAAAAAGAAAGCCTAACGTTAATATTATTCACCTTATGTTCACTGGAGCATTATTTGCAAGAGCCAAGATACTGAGGAAACCTAAGAGTCCACCAAAAGATGAATGGGGAAAGCAGATGTGGTATATAGTTGACCCTTGATTAACACAGGTTTGAACAGCCTTGGGTCCACCTATATGCTGATTTTTTTTTCAATAAATGCAGTACAGTACTGTAAGTATATTTTCTATTCCTTATGATTTTTCAATACCATTTTCTTCTCTCTAGCTTACTTTATTAGAAGAATACCTTATATAATACATGTAAATACAAAATATGTGTTAATCAACTACTTATGCTATTGGCAAGGCTTCCAGTCAAAAGTAGACTATTAGCAGTTAAATGTCTGGGGAGTCAAAAGTAATATGCAGATTTCAGACCACACAGGGTGGTCAGTGCCCCTAACCCCTGAATTATTCAGGATGAACTATACATATACAAAGGAAATTACTCAGCCATAAAAAAGAATGAAATCTTGCCATTTCCAACAATATGGATGGACACAGAGGGTATTATGCTAAATGAAGTAAGTCAGAGAAAAAAACAAACACTATATGATTTCACTTATATGTGGAATCCAGAAAACTAAACAAATGAATAAAGCAAAACAGAAACAGACTCATGGATACAGGAAATAATCTGCTGGTTGCTAGAGTGGAGGGAATAAGGAGGACAGGGAAAACAGGGGAAGGGGATTAAA